CCATGCATAGATACTTTGTAATCCTATTGTTTTGAAAGGCATCCCAGTGTGTTCTTGTTCTGATTTTTTCACTGAATTTTCTGTTTTTTATACACTTTATCAAAACATTCTTCTCACAAGTCTTTTCTAGGCACATAAGTGCACTCTTTGTGCAAAACTGGAAGATATAGACAATGTGGGGAAGGAGTGATTCTTGTTTGAAAAATAACATGTGACTCAATTGAGGAATGCAGAAAATTTTCCATCATGCACCTAGTCCAACAACATTAGACCTAGCCTGGGCCTCGTTTCTTATCCGACATGTCTTATGGCCCCGGCTAGGTCTAACCTCCATGATCATTTTGCCCTTGATGCGTTAATTTGATCGTTCCGCAGGTTTCGACAAGCGGAACTAATTAAACCCTGAAACCATGGTAATATTACACAAAGAATGTGATTTAAGCATGCATACATACCTTATGAATACATACACACCATCCCGTATCCCCCTTAGACCCCATTGATGCATAATTACGAAAATATTGGAGACAGGTTTGGAATATAACGAAAATGTCGGTCAGTTTCGGTAACATCGAAATTGCAAATCGTATCAGAAATTAACCGTCATCGCGGCACTGCATTTACAAACAGTAGGTTTGCAATTAAGAACTATTTTGCGTGTATACACGCGCTATATAAATCAATCAAAGATACATGTTATCCTCAAAATTGATCTTTTTATGCCGAGTAATCGCGATAATAATTATCAATCTATTTGACAACAATTTCGTTTCGCTAGTAGTTTAATTTTACGATCCGGGACACTCGGACGAACAAACACAATGACGGACATGCGGAAATGTCATTTTAGAGATTGGTAAGTGTAGCCTCATTTTACTAGTATAAATGAACATTTAATACAATAATATTGTGTTAAATCGCTTGATGTTATGTGTTTTTATATTATTGTCAAGTATCAATTGCATGTTATCGCGGCAAAATGGTTTCGATGGATCCAGAACTTGCATCAAAGGAAAGAATAGTAAAGAGGTTAAACTCAATAACGGCCCCAAGAAAATTCCTAATTCCTAAAGAACGCCGTTATTGAGTTTAACGACGTTGAACTATCATGCACCCTGACCTTAACGACGTTGAACTAATGTTTGAATTGCAATGAAGTATACTGCATCATTCTACATTGGATATAAAAGCATTCGTGCATAACCCATTCTGATAATGTACTCTACCCCATAAATGTAGAGTCGAATTGGCGTTTTTTCTTGTATTTTATCATTCTCGTGCATTATGTGTATGGATTAGTACATTCCCTCATGCTTTTATATTCCCAATATAGAATGATACAGGATTCTTTTATTCCTAAATATTGCAACTGGGTAGATTCGGTTCGTGAAAATAAATTTACATTAAAATGGCCAGGCTCTTATTTCAATCTCCGAATATGAAAAGTTGAGTGTCAATTCACAAATTGGGTTAAGGTGCTATGGAAGTTAACAGGAAATGACAAAACAGGAAGTGACAATTTTTTTTGCATTTTTAGATATTTTTTGAAGAAAGATAACAGAGTTCTGGTTTGACCTCCAGTCAATTAACTATTTCCACATATCATTTACATGACCAGGATCACAATGTGCATGGTCAGAATGACCCTAAACATGATGAAATAACCTTTTTAGCCCTTTGAAAGTGTGACTGAAAAAAAGCTAAAAGTAGGAGCGTAGGGATAGTCACTGAACAGAATCTTTTGAATTTTTCAGAAAATGTGCCCAATATAATGCTCTAACTAGTACAATCTTTGAAATTTTAGAAAATTGTCTTCAACAAAAATGGCGGTCATATAAAGGAAAATAGATCGCTTTTCAAATCAGTTTTTTCATTTTTTTTTCTTTTTCTATGAATGATATCAAATTTTCAAAGTTTGTATCATTTAGAGCAATATATTGGGCACATTTTCTGAAAAATTCAAAAGATTCTGTTCAGTGACCTTCCCTACGCTCCTACTTTTAGCTTTTTTTCAGTCACACTTTCAAAGGGCTAAAAAGGTTATTTCATCATGTTTAGGGTCATTCTGACCATGCACATTGTGATCCTGGTCATGTAAATGCCAGTGGAAATAGTTAAATTGACTGGAGGTCAAACCAGAACTCTGTTATCTTTATTCAAAAAATATCTAAAAATGCAAAAAAATTGTCACTTCCTGTTTTGTCATTTCCTGTTAACTTCCATAGCACCTTAAATGAAAACACAAAAGTAAGGTTTATGAATCGCATATCGCTTTCAGAACTATTTCGAAAGCCTTGAATTAAAATCTCTATAACTGTATTTATACTAACCTTTACTTCGCTATCACTTGCACTGTCAGCCATATCAGCAAACGTATAGTAATTTTCGGAAGAACTAAAATGACTAAAACTTGCTACCAGCTTATACTACGAGTCACTTCTCACCTCTGATCCAAATGTAGCGACTAATTGCACTGTTTTAGCGCGCTATACTTATATATCGTACGCGCGGACGTCAGTGATTCAATCAAATTAGTTCAATCATGCATGATAGAAAATGTAAACATAAAATATATGTGTTTGTTCGCTCGTTTCAGTAGTATTTTATGCTGTAATAGGATGAGGAATTCAAGCAAACATTGCATTGTTTAAAAAAATGTTATCTGTACTAAAGTTATACAAACTTACGTGAATTAACGCGTTTCATGTGTCGGTTAAAATTGAAGAAAGGGAAACAGTTTCATACCAACATATATTTTACTATTACTGTTCCATTCACCTGTACTTTCGTTGACAGTATAATTCACGCGGGTCCAACTATGCACATTGAAAAACGTTAATTTGAATTTTAGACCTACCAGATGTTTGAAAATCAAGGATTGTGAGTCTCATACTGCACCGTTTTTCTTCAAACTTGTTCCATAGAAAGCAAAACAATAATGTCTTTCTGTTAGTCCATCATTCTGTTATGCAGAGTCCCTCCTTTTAGTGGCGTTTGGTAGGTTTCAAATTCAAATTAACGGTTTTCAACGTGCATATTGGACCCGCGTGATAATTATAAAATATCAAATCCAATATAATGTTAGCCCCACACTTCAATTACACTAATCAAATTCAATCAATCTAATTAGTCTTCTAGTCCTTGGGCCCCATATGTCCATATGGTATCACAATTTTTTTCACAAATGACATGATTATTTAAAGGTGTTTAGTATAGACCGCTGCACATGGCCAACTCAGAAGCTACATGTAGACATTCATTTTAATCGATCAAATTGTAGCATCTTTCATTCAAAGGACTTAATTTATTACTCAATTCTATGGAAATAAATGAAATACCCTTGTACCAAGGATGAAATCTTAGTAACAACGCGCTTAGTGCCGTGACCCATGCATGTTTAAATGCTTAGACGGCGTTTTGATTGACAAGAGCTAGTCTGAGATGCAAGTCGAAGTTGTGGTAAGCATGCGTACATTAATGCTGATACAAATTAATCTATAAGTCGTATAATTGGCATATTTTCTTGAATTTTAACATTTAATGTCCCAAACTCCCACAAACTGCAGAAAATACACACCATATTTACCAAAGTGAGTGTCTCCAAGGCTTCATACCAGCGCAGGAGGAGTGAGTAGCTCCCATAATTCTTTCATATTCTATCGTATTCGGGGATTCCCCATTACATCATCTCTTGCATCATCTCCAATCAAATTGCAGAATTCGATCACGTGGACAATCATGAGCACGTGCTCTCTCAGTGCAGAGTTAAATTTGAAATCCTGGAAATGGCATTAACAGCAGTTCAACATCATTCATCAATTCAAACCTACGGTTATAGTATTGAAGTTCTCGATCCATACTTGTAAAGAATACTCATAAAACTACAGTGAACATTTCGAGATTCATTTTAACGGCAAATTGAGGCCTGTTTATAAAATTTGTTTTCGAACGTGCTAATATGATAGGTCATCTTTGGGAAATCCCCCCCCCTGATACCAGCGTATGCATAATGCATTTGTCACAAGTTTGAGCTGAAATTTCGCTAAAATGAAGTAAGGGTAGTCTCTGCCAGGTTTGTTTATTGTTGTTAGCTTTCATGGTAAGTGCTCAAAAGCAAATAATTCATATGCGCAAAATAATCTAATAATCTGATTGGTTTAAACGTTGCTGCACGGGCGCACAATGTGTGCCATGGTTTTTTACGCTCCTACTTTGCTGGAGACCTCGAACCATTGATCACGTTTGCTCCTGTAATTATTCACTTCTTCACCTCTTTAAAATGTGATTTCAATCAGTTGATCAAATTTTCGGACTTTGACCTCAAATTCGAATATTAATATTTATAAAAAAAATACTGACTCATTATCATATTTTAAACGTCTTCCAAATAAAGTGAAATGAAGCCAAAATCAGCTAAAATCATGCAATGTCGTAAAATGGCGTGACTGGAATATGATGCAATCACCCGTGACGTCAGACACCTATTGCCACATCAACAAGGTCAACAACTAAACAAACAATTAATATAGACTTCACTGATTGGTTTAAAGATTCTTCGCATCATTTGTGACATCATAAACATGTTACCAACAACTAAACAAATAACAAATAGGCATAGGTTCGTTCAGTGCCACGCTCTTGAATCAGTTAAAAACAGGGATAATCAACAGATATATGAGAGGGTCGGGCATTTTTTTGACTTAGAGACCTCGACTCGAGGAGTTTGCTGCATTTTCTTGTTTTAGTGATTTCGTTTCGTTTCTTGGCGTTTGCGTTTCAGTACATAACTTCCGCCAAGATGGCGGACCAATGACAGAATTAACAGGTAAAATCACTTCTAAATAGACCAATCCAGTTATATATGCCATCTATTGGTTATGATGTCATTCTTACAATTTCAGTGCAGAAATAAAAAATTAATGAAATTAATTTGTTTTATTGGATTAGGAGTCTTTTATTTTATGTAGTATGCATTATTCAGTTTCGAGTGGAGAAGATAGATGGAGGAAGAAATGTCGGAAATCTCCGAAGAAGTAACGGTAATTCCCGAAGAAGTGACGGAAATTCCCGAAGAAGTGACGGAAATTCCCGAAGTTGACGATAAATGGATGATGACGTCAGTCGGTCTTCTTCGGCCTTTTCAAGCATACATCCAGAGCGGGAGCAGGTTCTATTTTTTGCTCGTGTGTATTGGTTGGTTGCAGTGTAGTATGTAAGTATAACCTTAATAGGTTTTTAGCTTGATGATAAGTTTTATCATTGGAGTAATTAGTGTCAGATAAAAGGAGGTATAACTGCAGAAATTGAATGTTCAAAAAGTTTGTTTTGTTTTTGAATTTATGTCGAACCAAGATGGCTGACATTATAACTCACGTGGAAAAATGGTGGGAAATTGAAATTTAATTAGGCAGTTGCTTATTAAATATTGGTATTAGTTGATGTATATGTCACATGTTGTGATATTGATAAAAAAGGTACCGTTGATTAATTTTCCAGGTAACGCATATTACTACAATTTGACCAGAGCTTGACTTGAGTCCAGGTGGATTATACAAGACGTTTTAACCTAGCCTACTTTTCTTCTTTTTGACATATCAGATTCAGTACTTTAACAACTTTGTGTGAGAAAAATCCAGGTGGAATTTTTTCATTCGTTCTAGACATCAGTTCAGGACAATGAGGTTGAAAGTAAAGTTGGCTGGACATTCCATTGTGAAACAACTTATTTTGAGCGAACATTTTACATTTGGGGAACTTGTGACAGATACTGTTACAATTACAGAAGGTTGTGAAATGCTGGGGGAGGGAGAATTTCAAAACTCAAGGACCATTTAGTAGAATCTCAAGAAGGTCATGATGCAACAATGCTCATATTACAAATTGGAGGAAATGACCTCAAATGTTCAGAAAGTGACATCCCATATAAAGCAAAGAAAAATTCAATTTACACCCCACTTTTAGAACCTTTAGAAACGGCGGAATCAATAGTCAATTTAGCAGAAGAATACTTGGAAAAATTCCCCTTGTGCAAAAGAGTGTATATAGGACATATTTTAAAACGTCATTACCAAATACAATATCAATACTTTAGAAGAATCACAACTATATAACTTAAATGTCATGGCAGCCAACCACCATATCAGAAAATTAACAAAAAACAATAAAAATATAATGTATTATCATCAAAAAGATCTCAATGACCATAAATACCAGCATACGAAAATACTAGCTTTGCCCAATGACCCCGTACATCTGAATGAAAAGGGAAACAAGAGACTCATGAGATCTTGGAGAGGAATGGTTATCAACTGTCTGGACGACATAACAGACGGCAAGGTATAATAAGAAGATATTAGTAAGTAGAGGGTTGCATTAACATAGTTAAGAATATTTAACAAGAATAACACAATGAGGGACGGCACTACCTCAATAAAAATTATGCCCTTTTTAAGGAGTTAATTAGTTTGCTAACCTGCAACCTTACTATCTTAATGGTCCCCAGCTTTTTTGTTCTATACCAACGGTTATGAGTTTATATATTATTGGTATCCTGGGCGTTATTGTTGTTATATGATGGCGGAAGAAGATAAAATTAAGAAGAAGGAGTCTGTAAAGATTCCTTACTATCTTAAAGAGAGTACCAAAAAAATTTGGTTATGTTAAAATTGGTTATTGTATAAAGGAGTTATATTGTAGTCATATAAAATGATAATAGTAAGTATCAAAGGATGGTTAAAAGGCATATGAAGTGAAAATAATTGACATTATTTATATTTACATTATTGTAGGGCGTCTCAAGAGATGAGCGATATGCAGGGCAGTCCAGGTGGACTCGACCCTGATCAACAAACACAGAACCAACCCCTCCCAGGTGGGTCGGGAATGACGTCACAACCTAGAGAAGGGCAAACACAATCTCCTATGCAACAGGGACAAAGTATAATCGACCATGAATACGCAAGACGAGTAGCAGCGGCTGCTGCTATGGCTTCACTAGACCAGGGGAATCCATCAACATCACAAGGTGGGTTGTATACTCCATCTTCTGTAGCCAATATTCCAAGCATACCATCAACAGGGCAAATAAATACGACCCAAAACCCAAGTCACATTCCATTATTACTGTCTCAGATACAAAACCAACAATCAAGCTCTCAAATGTCAACATACAATGTTTCGGGAAGCTCGTTGAACCCCATGTCTTTTCAAACATCGCCTCTGGAAATGAAAGTCAATGATAAATCTAAACAAAAAATTTGGGATGACAAATATGTGGATTTTGAGTTGTTGTATAAAGAAATCAACAACATTACAGGTCAGCCAGGTGGCATGACTGTGACGCAACTTGCGCCTTATGGCCAAAACTCCATTGAGATATTCAATCTTCAAAATCATTCAAAGCAAAAAGCTCTATCATTCCCTCAGTGGCTAAAATCATTCGCCACATTCTCCGCAGTCTACCAAATGAAAAATCAAACGGCCGGGCCTCAACTCATGAAGCACCTTAACACAGTCACTGATTTATATGAACAAAAATCGGGATGGAGGTATTATGATAACAACGTTCGCTATAAAAGGTCAACCATGAATTGGCCTTGGGATGTTCTCCATTTCCAACACTGGCAGATAGCCAAAATGATGTCATCCTCAGATTTGTATCAGAACACCTCCAACTCTTCCAATCAACAAGTAGGAGACCGTGATGATTTTCGTTTCCCCAAAGGATTCTGCTTTGCATACCACAAAGGGAGGTACTGTAATAGGGGATGTGGCTTCAAACATGCCTGTCCAAAATGTGATGAAGACCACATGGCCATTAACTGCCGCAACAAGAACAGAGGAAACTGGAGAGCCTCAAGGCAAGAAGAGAAGGAAGACAGAAAGAGGAAACGAGACCGCTCCGGGGATAACTCCAGTAAGAATAGAAGAGCTTGAACATCTATTATTGGACTACGAACCACAACCTATTTCACCAATAGGGCTAGTTCCAAAAAGTATCGCAGAACATCACCTATCTCATCCCCAAGAATGTTCTATAAATGATGGTTTCAAAATTGAAGATAAAACAGTATCATATGCTACGGTCGATGATGCTATTGAAATAATCAGGAAATTAGGAAAAAATTGCTATCTTTCGAAATCTGACATAAAATCCGCTTTTAGAATTATACCTATTCACCCTTCAGATTTTTACATGCTTGGCATGGAATGGCAAGGGAAATTCTATTTCGACACGGTGCTCCCTATGGGCCTTTCATCATCTTGTAACATTTTTGAAAAATTTAGTTCAGCTCTACAATGGATAGCTAACAAAAAGTTCAATATCCCTTTTATAATACATATCCTGGATGACTTTTTTATGGCGAATAAGACCAAAGAATCATGCGAAAAATCTCTAAATTCATTTTTGAATATGTGTAAAATAATGAACATCCCTATAGCAAAAGAAAAAACTGTGGGTCCAGCTCAAGTATTAACATTTGCAGGTATTGAGTTAGACACAGTGAAAATGGAAGCTAGGTTGCCTCCAGAAAAACTCGAAAAAGGAAAAAACTTAATTGAAGAGGTGCTAGGCAATAAAACAGAAAGAAAAATTTTAAACTGACTAAAAGACAATTATTATCAATCATAGGCTTCTTATCATATTGTTGCTACATTATTCCGTTTGGCAGAACTTTTTTGAGAAGATTGATAAACTTATCAAAGAAAGTAAAAAATTTAGATTACTTTATAAGAATTAATCAGGAAGCTAGAGAAGATTTAAAAAATTGGGAAGAATTCTTGAAAAAATTCAATGGTAAAACAATGATAATTGATCAACAAGGTATTTTAGAAAAAATAGTAACAGATGCATCTGGAACAATTGGGTTTGGAGGTATATGTGGCAAACAATATTTTAAGGGCAACTAGCCTGAGGAATAGAAAGGGAAAAATATAGCATTACTAGAATTAATGCCAATAGCAATTTCAATAAAACTGTGGTGTTAAAAATTAGCCAACAAAAATGTGAAAATCATAACGGATAATGAAGCAGTAGATCATATTCTTAAAACTAT